TATAGCCTAGGAGCTGTAAAACATAATAGATGTTTTCCGTTAACTGGAAAAACAGTTGTTGGGGTTTTTTTTTAAGCAATCTCCTCGGACAGAAGGATAAAGTGTTTAAACTATTCAAAGTGAATAACTCGAACTACTGTTTCATAAGCCCTTGGCACTAGTTTAGCAAGTTTTAAAATTCTGGATGTCACACCTTCCCTCTGAGAATTGATTAAAAGGGTGCATCAGAAACCAGCCTCAGTCAGAGCATTGACCTGACTGTGCTGTCACCAGTTTGAAATGCAAACAGAATTATGACTTAGACCAAAATATTTCTAATAAAAAACAACAAGGCCATATATCAACAAGCCTCAAACAACAGGAGGTTTCATTTGAAAAGAGAGATGCATCCTCTCCTGCCAAGTACTACAGTAGTAAACCATGGACTTAATACAACTCTGGCTCCCTGTGAAGGGATCAGAGGTTCATCTGAGGGAAATTGGAGAAGCAATTAAAAGTAAAGCTCCTGTTTCACCCAAATCTAACCTTGATTTGTCCAGTAAACTGAACATCTACTGTATGCCTGAAAGCAGAGCAGTCATGAAGCCTTGACTTGGGAAACCAAATACTGGCATGCACAGGCACACACAGATAAACCTTTTCTGCTCAGTGGATTGCACTGAAAATCACTCACGTTGGGACCAGTGGTGAGAGTGCTACTCACACACGTAAGAACTGACACCGTATATCCAACTTCACCTTTTCTCAGTTGCATTTGCAGCTGTGACAAAGGCTGTACCATCTTGCACTGTGCAAGCTGATGACACTTTGATCTTGTTTGAAAATCGAAGCTGAAATGTAACCACCTTTGTGTCTGTGGTCTTTCTGTTGCCTTTGGTGTAAGCAAACCACTGCCTACAGTAAAAGTAAATTAAAAAGATAACTGTTTTAACACCCTCTTGGCTTTCTCTTATGTCACAGGTTCACTCAAAAACAATGAGCCTGTCAAAGAGCCTCTGAATGTTTTATCTCATAAGGGATCACCATCTCCAGCAAACTCTGATGAGACAACGTTAGACGAACTATGGATCCAAAGGTAAGAAGGGAATTCACTGTGCTTCCACTGAAAATTACAGTCAGAGTGGTGTCAGAGCTGGAATGCTGTCTGGGGAAGCACAGCTGGACAAACTGTAGCTCTAATCCCTGCCTTCTCACCTTGACTTGTGCTGCTTTCAGTCTTAATGATACATATTGCTTAGTATTAGTGTGACAGTACAAAGGGTCATGTCAATATGGGTTTGGAGAAGACAGTGAAGGAAAAAGAGGGAACAAGAAGACAGTAGGGAAGGTGGTGGGAAAAGGGGAATGTGAAGCAGGATCATCCCGTGGTATAAGTGGGCAGACTGCCTTAAGCAGCTTGTTAAGAGAATAAGGAGAGCCTGTGGGCATTTTCTTGTGGAACATCCCAACATCAGGGTGATCCCATTCTTGGCCTTCATAGAGAGCTCTCCTGAAGCCTGTTATACAACCCCACATGGAAAACAGGATTTTATAGCTGAAGAAGTAGCTACAAAGATGTTTTCTACAGTATTCTGACTTTCTGTTTGCTGTTTACTTTGAAGAACTGAGAAGCAACAGAGGCTTTCAGTGAGGGAGCCCTTTTTGGTTTAAATCCCTCAACAACCAATGTCCAGGAAAAGGCCCTGATGCCACAACCTGTAAAGGTACATCCATCCCATAAATCTACCCTCAGTCCTGCTCTATTGCCACTGCAGCCAGCTAGAGAGAGGAGGATGTACCTAGCCTTACATTTTCATATATGACTGAGGTATTCTCCCAGGCTCCCTCTCCAGCTACTCACCTCTGGTGTGTACAGCTGTGAGATAGTCCCTGCTGGTACTGTAGAAGATCAGGCTGGAAGCACCAAGCCCCTGTCCTCTAAGGGTGTATGCATTGTGCCACACCAGCTGTGTTGGTGTCTGGTGCCTTGGCACCTTTCCTTACGGAGAGGACTCCAGGAAAACAATTTTAGCCAAATGTCAAGTTGGATTTAAATAAATTAATTGCCTTGGCTAAAACTGATTGCCCTTTGGCCGTAAAGTGAGCAGATGAAAATAGACAGCCACAGTCTGCTGTGGTGTCAAACCCATCTGTCTTCCTCTCCTCGCGGCACAATCGTCACAGTCGGTGTCTGACATCCTGACACCAGCACTTAGGCAGCTCTGAAATGTGCAAATCCTGATTCTCCCTGGAGCTGGAAACAATGAGCCTGTGCTGGGAGTCAGGTTTGTCGAAGATGATGCTGTGCAGAGCTTGACAGGTCAGTACAGGTTCTAAGTCATGTGTCTGCTAAAAGCAGGCAGTGCTGCTGAGCGGCATCGATGGTCTCTTGAAGCTGAGCACAGACATTTGACAGAGAATGAGACCAGAGTTCCAGCTCAAACTCATCCCATGTCCTCTGCCCTTCTCCAAAGATCAACTGTAATTTATAACAGAACCACTAGAAACCTGCACTGGGGAAGCCTACAGGAGCCTAAGAATGTTGCCATTACTTACAGTAATTCCTATTATCTCCCTCCTATTGGAAAAAAGGCCATTATGCAGATAAGACATCAAAAATATTATCACTAGTCTCAAGACATGCATTTAATCTCTCCCCAGAAGAATAAATCAGAAGAATAAAGCATTCTTCTGAAAGCAGAAGCTGGCAGTTCTGCAGAAGGGACAGTACAGGCACCTCTGGCCAGCTCTGGAAAGCTCCATGGAGTTCTGAGGAGTGAAGCACCCTGAGGGCAAGCGGGTAGCAGTGCTGCATCTCTTCAGAGTCAGCAGCATCCCACAGCAACCATCTAAATGCTAGGGCTGGGCAGGCACAATCCCTTCTCCTTGCAGGAAGATAACCAGCAGGTCTGACACAAATGGGTTCTTCACAGGTAGGGATGTCACTTCACATATAGCCACGCTGCATAATTCAGGGCAGGAGGTAAACACAGCTGGGGAACGTAGTAAACAGCTCAGAAAAAGGAATTGTCACAGACTTTGATTCAAATCTATGTGTCTTTCAGAGCTCTGAGAGTAGTAGAGTAATTCAGTGATCTCAGAACACTGATGTTTGAAAACAAGATTCCTCAAACATTATCTCTGGTGTTCCAAAATCTGCCACGCGCCCTCCATAAAATACTTCCTAAGAGCATTTTTATGCTCAGGTGGCTTTTCCCCCCATGATCTTTTTCCTGTGCCACCTCCAACTCCCTCTAAGCACTCCGGAGTTCTCCACAACACCCCAGAGCTCCCCCTCAGCCTTCCACATTGTACAAAGATCTGAACCCCCACCATGACGAGCTGCTTCCCGACACCAGACCTGCCCTTGAGCATCCCAGTGCTGAGCTCCCAGCACAACCCCTGCTTTCCAGAGCAACCTGAGCCAAGGCCCTGGAAGGAACTGAACTCAGCAAAAGTTGCTCTTGCCCACAGTGAGCAGTCCTGCCAGCTCCAGACTGAGATCACAGAAAGCCACCAAAGAGAAACATCCACCCACAGTGTCCATCCACAACTGCCAGCTGAAAGCAGCTCCCACAGAGACCAGAAAATTAGTCATTGCAGACCCTAGAAAGGAGACTCACTAAATATTGTCAGCTAATAGGATGTTCACTTTTCTTCCTTTCTAGTGCAATACAGATATTTTAGCAGCATGACTGCATTATTTACCTACCATTTCCCACCGAGCCAGATTCCAAAAATGATATGTTTTTATTATGGGCCACGAGATACATTGGAAGAGAAATTCAGTGTGAAGTTTCACTTTGCAAAGCTCATGGTGAGATCATGGGTCTCCCAGTGCAGAGCAAACTGTTTCTTTGTGCTGCTTATGAAACGTCCCATTCAGAGAAACAAGGGTCATCTAAAAATCATTTGATTATGTTTGATGTGAGCTCAAAGAATGGAAGTACTACCACAGTGAATACAACTAGTCACCTTCAGCAGCAAGAGGGAATCCAACTTGTTTGAATTCATGCAAACACTTATTAGAGAGGAGCAGTACACATGTGAGATAGCATAGCACTCTGAAAGGTGCTCGTGTGAGTGTGGGTTACCAGCCCTTAGCCCAGCACTCTTGGTCCTGGGCAGCAGAGGGCACTGCTTTTATAGCCTGATTTAACCAGAAAAGTAGGGAAAACCTTTGGAGAGGCCGGGAGCTGGATTGCAAAAGGCCTTAGAAACTTGTGCAGTTTCCTTCTGCTTATGAAATACATTTCTTGTAGTCAATTCTTCTCTGTGCTGCCAATGGTGCTTCAATATGCAAGTGGTGAAGTCAGCAATAGCTGGTGCAAACACCTGTTGAGCAAATCTTTCCATTTCATCTCTCTACAACGTTTTGCTCTTTTAGAGGTAAATGAATAGAGACAGATTTTTTTTTTCTGTCCCTTTCTGTACAATCTGCATCTTAAAGAGACTAAGGGCAACTGTATTTGCAGGGAGAAGTATTTTAAAAACTAGTAAATTTCCAGAAAAAATAGCCTCTGTAGGTATTAAAATGTCCTTACTGTCAACATCCCATATTTCACAGGATCACACAGAATAGCAAGCAATAACATACACAGTTCTAATGAAGCATCCTTCCAGCATGCAGCCAAAGGAGATCCCAATCCCAGTCTGCCCCTCTATTCCACACAGTCCCTGCTTGCCAGGTTCTTGAGCTAGTCATGTTTTCATTACTGTGCAAGGTCCAGGCTTTGCCCTCCATGTCTCCCAAACTGATCTGCTTCAGCTGGACTCCTCAGCTCCTCAATCAGTCTCTTCGTTTCACTCCTTTTCTACCAGCTTCAACTTGTAATTCCCCACACAATTTCCTCAGCCTGCTATTTCTCAGGCACATTAGTCCTCTCTCTTCCCTCCTGCAGCTCATATCTCAGTGTCCTGTTGTTCTCCAGGCTCTTCACCCTTTGGCTGCTCATACAATCTTATTATCCCACTCCTCCTCCTAGCTCCAGTGCCAAATTTTACAGCCTTTTCCAACTCACCATTTCCTGAAGCCTCCAGCTGGGCGTGAGTTCCTCTCTTCACAGCAGTCTCCTGCTCCAGAAGTAGACCTCTTCCTCCCCATGCTTGAGTCTTGCCCCTTCTGTTTTTCAGTCAGGTAGTTTTCTCATCATGCTGACTGGATCCAGCACAAGGATCACTGAGGATACCACAGGAAGGTCTTTATTTGTATGTTTATATATTTATTTATAAATATTTATTTATACCTAAAGAGGCCTTCATTCACAGAGCCTGGAACTGGACCAGGCAGCTTTTACAGCTACAGTATCAGAAATGATTGTCTCAGCCCACGGCAGAGGATGGGCAGCAGCCCAGGGATTTTAGGTGCTACAATCTAAGTCTGAAGCTTGTGTGTATTGCAGAGAGTGGAAAAGGGCCTAAATGCTATGGATTTTCTTAAGTCTGGCAAAAACACAATCCTGGAAAGCCCCAAAATCTCATCTTGCATATCAGCAGAAACCAAAGCTTTTGGAAGGACAGAACAACAGGTTTTCTGTTTTCCTTTAGTAGGGATCCAATAATATTTTCCTAAGTCTAATAAATTGTTAACTGCTTTTAATATATAAAAAACTAACTTGTCTGTGGCAAATGGTCAGTAAGTAAAAACATAACCTTGATGATTATGAGCACCAAAAGGTTAGAAGCACCTAAAGGTAAGGATCCTATAAATGAAATTTCTGAACATTTTTAGTTATTGGTAAGCCCCAACAGATATAACTGAAGTATTTTGATGAGAGTTTAAGGAGGTTCAGGAGAACAGATATGCTCTTATCCTTTAGGATCTAAAAATACTAGGGATGAGGAGTTCTGCTTATCTACCATTAAAAAGTCATAATCAGGAACAAAAACTGCACAGACACACCCATTGCCAAAATCACTGCTAAAAACCACACATGAACAGAGGGAATCTGAATGAACCTGAGGTATGAAAATATCCTTGACTAGGTATAACATTATTCAAATCTATTATTAACTTCACACTTCTCCATAAATTTGGTTAGTTCAGATTAAAACAGTGCTTCTTACCTCATCTTGTGGCCTTTCTTGGTGTGAAACTCCCACTGACTAGAAGGGTTTGGGGAATTTTTCATGAATACGATTTGCTGGACTGCCTCTTCTCTTTTTAGTTTCTAGAAGAGAAGGTCTAATTTCTAAAAATTGCCATAAGAGAACATTTTAAAAATGCATTTCAATTTAATTTGAAAACAAGCTTTATTCTAAGGATTGCTTTTGAGTTGAAATGCACATAATAAATCTTAATTCAAATGATTACTCATTTTTCAAAATTACTAGTGCCGGAAAATACCAACCAAGATTGGAAATTCATCCCCCAAGCATAACTTAAATGAGATAATGGTAATAAACTAATTATAAACTCACACCAATTATCACATTTTAACACAACCATGGACCAGGTCAGCCAACATTTAGAATCTTTTCCAACAGCAGCACAGTGAGGCTGGGAACAGCCTGCAAGCACACGAACCCCTTCTCTGCAGAACAGGTGCAAGCTCAAACCCACTTCCCTTTGCCCACAGGGAGCTGAGCCACGGTCCTGCCCCGTGGCAGCAGAGCTTGGCCACCAGGGAGCTTCAGGACCCTAAGGATTCCAGAGACAGAACTGGGATTTGGTCTATTGGGGCACTGTGGGGCTTCTGTCACCAACAACAGCACAGGGCAAGCAGCACTGCTTGTGCAGTGCTGGGATAGGATTTTCAACCAGTTGCTTTGTTGTTCTAGTAATCTAGATTCTTTCTTTCCCCCTACAACTGGACAGGGAATTTTAGGATGAATTGGAGGGATTTTGGTGAGAAAACTGGTTTGTCATCAGGAGATTGTACTGATTTTGATAACTGGGGGAAAGCTTTTTAGGCTCTGCATCAAATTCTTTGTTCTTACAGTGAGAGAAAAAAAGAAAACCTCCTCCAAACTCCTACCTGATGGTTAAGATTAGGTGGAGTAGGAACTTCTCCAGGCCTGAGCCTGCTGTTCCACAGCAGTGTAAAAGGATCCAAGGTGGCAGTGCCACGGTCCTGCCATCCATCTGCATGTCTGCCACCTCTGCTCTGCTGGCACTCGCTTTGAGCTCACCCTGTAGTGACACCATACACACAAAGCTGGTTCTACCAAAAAAAATGAATCATTTTCCATGAGTTTAGCTGCCCAAACCTGTTCACTGAGAACGAGACAAACTTGAGTGAGTGCTGGCATAACAGCAGAGGTAGAAATCTGCCTCAGGGGGTCAAGTGAGAAGTGGAATTGAGCAGCTGGATCAGCTTAAACTGCATGCAAAGTCCTAGCACCTGTGGAACTAGGGAGGAAGAAAGGGGCAGTTATGTTGGAGCTGCTCCACATAAATAGCTCAGTATTGACTGACTTAAAGTGGTATTTGGTATTTAGTGAATAAGCATTTGCCAGGTTGAAGCACCTTTCCCAGTGACCAGAGAAAGCAGAGCAGCTGCAGGAAGAGAGACTGACCTACCCTGGAACAGGCATGTGGGATGTGAGGGAATGACACAGCCGTGACTCTGACCTGGATCCTCCATGACCAGCATGAATATCCCAGTCACCAGACCCCTGTGACAGAATCACTTGTTTGCCTGCCTTTAGTTTGCATGACAAACTTTAAAAGCTTTGTTTTGTCTCCAAAGAGAAAAGCACGATTTAGAAAATCCCAGGACATTTTGTAGAACAAAAATATCTCCATCTTGCTAAATATCACTTTTTATTCCAGTCCCAAGAGTACTGGGAACACTCTGTCACTTCACTTGAGGGAAAAAGTATTTCTCACGCACTCGTTCTGTTTCTGGCCATCCTCTGTATGTCAACGTAAAGTACAAGAATAAAGCTGGAAAGGAAGAAAGAACAACATGTTTGAAAGACCAAATTGCAATTAAGAAAGGAAAAAGTTCTAAAGGAAGGAAAAGTAGAGTAGTGGTCGTTGCTACTCAGTGGAAGAGCTCTCTGAGACAGGAACATACAAGCTGCGGCCTCCCATGGCCACAGGGGGCATTTCACTCGCAGCTGGTGTTCTCACCTCTTCAGAGCTTCCGATGTTTTTATTATCGTTAGTGCTTCCAGTGACATTTTCAGATTTTCATCTTGGACCAAAAGTGAAATTATGTTAGAAGAAATGAAGGAAATGGAAGACGGGCAGGATCAAATTACCAGACAGTTATAGGATCATGAAAAGATGCTTTCTATTTCTGCAAGTTTTTCATAGCATGACCCAGACACTTTTTCTAAAAAGAAATTTCAATTTGCAACAGATTTAACCTTCGGAGTGAAGCAATGTGAGGGGTTAGAATCTGTTAAACTCTTAAAGCATACTTCTGAAAGAGTTTTTTTCCTTAGTAAATACACTCAAAAGTTATATTTAGATATATATTCATCCTATATATTCATCAGAGCTTATGCACTGATTTCCCTTTGCATATGAGAGAGAACTCCCCACTGCTCTTGGCCCTTCCCTTTAGAAAAGAGTAAACAGCATATCTGGTTTTCCAGATTTCAGGATAACTAAAGATCACTTCTTTTCTGAGAAAGAAGCTTGTTAGCATCCCACCCACTCACTAAAACCCTTGACAATATTCTTGCCCTAGCGGCAAACCACCAAAACATCAGTCGTTAGGCACAGTCTCTGCCGCTTTATCCCTTCCACAAGGTTTTAGCCGCCCCCTCACTCACCTCTCTTCCTAAACCCCCTAATCCCCAGCGTTTAATGGTGATAACCCACTGTCATCCCATATTGACCACCTACCCAGTGACAATCTCAGCCCCAGCTCTCAGGCTCTCGTCCTCCTCTCTAAGCACAAGGCAGGCTCCAGCTCTCACCCTCACCCTGGTATTTCCTTTCGGTTGTCTGGTCCTTCCAACCTCCTGCTCCGGGACTGGACATGAACTGGACTCACAGCCTTCTCTGAGCCTTCAATGACATTTCCAGCTGTTTTTCTTTCCCGTTCTGCTTCTTAATGACTTAATGACTGAGCTTTCCAGTGTGCCAGATCAAGATCTAGTTCACATAAGCTGAAGGACTTTTTCTGGACATACCATCATGTACTGATTAGAAGCTATCCTGGCATATGATTTAGCAAAACCAATATAAAAATGTTTAAAAGGAAACCATTTTACACATACAGACCAATACACAGATTCTTTGCTGTTACATAAATTACCTTACCATGTACAGAAAAATCACGGTTATTTATGCAACAGGGAGAAAGCGAGCGCAAGGAATAGCTGAGCACTTTCCCTCTGTTAACTCCTCAGTTGCAATGTGGTGCAGATGACGTTTTTTTTTTGCCGAGAGTTATTAACGTGTAGGGAAGAGCTGCACCCAACCTGTCCACAAGCACTCCAACTGATCCGAGGGTGTAACCGTACTCTGGAGCTCAAGAGGATTTATCCCTGAGGCGGAAAAACAATTACTTGAACGAAGAGAGATAGAGATCATTGAGATACTTACTGCCTAAACGAGGCAATATATCCTTATGGAAGTAGCGACGCTAAGGAAAGGGAGACGGGAGAAATGAGCGATCGGGTGCGAAGCCCCGCCGGAGGAGGAGAGGCAGATAGCGGCCAATCCTGTGGGGTAACCAGGGGTGCACTTCCCGGCAGGAGGGATTAGGCTGAGTTTCCCAGTTACATTCCTCCATCTCAGGGTTTCGCCCCTGGAGAAGAAATGCACCATATGCACCAGATCTGGAAGCAGTTCAGGAGAGCCCCCTTCTCCCACCCCTTTTTCTCCCTCAAAGCCGGCGCCAGGCACACATAGGCAGAGAGGTGCAGGGGATGGGGGGCAGCGCTGCGCCCCGGGGCTGAGGGAGGACAGGTCAGTGCCAGGGCAGGACCCCTGCCCGCTGTGGGGTGGCCGTGCATGGAGGAAAAGGGCTGGGGCCGGTGCATGGGGTGGGATGG